ATCCTTCATCCCCTCGAGGGAGAGCCTCCCATCTGTACGGCTATGACCGACACAAGTTCCTACGCACCTGTGTCAGCTGTCAGAAGAACAACAAACTCACTGGTTCTGACTTCTGTTCAGCTTTCGGTGCAGCTTTTCCTTTTCCGCTCGACTGTAACAAATTAGTTTATTAGACTGCTAGAGTTTTGTAGAGACAGTGAAATAAAAAAAACCAAAGTAAGACTAGTTCTCCAAAAATCGTGAGTGGTTCGTATTAGATGTGGAAGCTAACAGTAAAACAAATATGGGCAGTTTTGTTGGCTGCTGATCTCAAAGAGTTTAGAAGGCTGGATGTAACGCGTCGCCAGCTAGATGTGAGAGCTGGCAGGCAGTTGTGATGGTCCTACAATTGGTGAAGAATTTGCTGGCGCCGTGTCGAAGCCAACCCTCCTAAAACGCTTCAGAGTCGCAGCGAACAAGTCTGCATTTATTGCAATTGATCTCACTCACTGTATAAATTCACCCTGCCCCACTGCAACTTTTCTTCTCTCTTACTTTTTTTTACGATTTTTTTACGATCTTTATGTCCTATCGGTTGAGGCTAAAATCCTCTAAGGCTGCGTTCATACTTTGCGGCAGCGTCCACCAGCGTTCCGAGCGTCCGGCAGCGTCAGCGACTGGGAAAGTATAGATATCGATCTAGCGTCTGCCAGCGTTCACCAGCGACAGAGAAGAGAGTAAGGGGAAGTAGGAGAGCAGCAAACAGCTGGATTAGGCGGTGAAATTGCGGCGTGTGCAACCGCACCGTACAACTACACTACACCGTACATTAATTGCATAATTCTGTGCTTTAGCAGTTGTGCGGCGGTTGCACACGCCGCAATTTCACGACGCCTAATCCAGCTGTTTGCTACCCTCCTACTTCCCCATACTCTCTACTCCCGGTCGCTGGTGAACGCTGGTGGACGCTGGTAGACGCTGGCAGACGCTAGATCGATACCTATGTTTCCTAGCCCTCGAGACGCTGGCGGACGCTGGTGGACGCTGCCAGACTCTAGATCGATACCTATGCTTCCCTAGCACTCGAGAGCTGGTGGACGCTGGCAGATCGATATCTATACTTTCTATACATTCTTAGTCGCTGACGCTGCCGGAGCTTGAGAGAGCGCAACCTCACAAACACAATTTGGCATAGTTGCGTCGTCCCTAGCACAACCAATTTTCTAAGCATCAAAAAAGCACCTTGTTTTCCGCAGCTTCTGGAGGCTTAACCGACTTGGGACGATTCATCGTTTCTCCTGTATACGTTATTTGAGGCTGAAATTCAACTTGTAAGGACATAAGCTGGGCGAAACTCGACAAAGGAAATTCGACTACCACATTCCGCTGTTGGCCCCACTGGGCCGTGGATTTAAATTTCAAAGTACAAGGGTACCACTTCCTAACAAAAGCGTGGAAGTATAAACAGCCCAAAAAGTGCTTGATTTTTTCTTAGAGCCACGAGAACAGGAACGGGGAAGTGTGAACCTACATCCTTAAGCATAAGCACTGCAACATCGCGTTCAAATTCATTCACATCTGGGTCATAGCGTAATTGTTCAGCACCCAATTGAAGTACGGATCCGGTGATCTGAACGATCCGAACAAATTAGTTGCGCTCTATAGAAACATGAAGTAATATTTCAACATTACAGCTTACCGCACTATATTCTAACAATTTTGCGGCTGATTTTATATTATCATCACAGTCTCTTAATCTTTCGAGAATCTGAAAAATAAGGCTTATTAGCCTCGGCAGACATTGCTTGCCGAAAGTGATAAGGTAGGTCTGAGCCTGCTGTTCTGCGTTTCCTCAC